TACATCACTGGCCCGGGTTAGTATGAGAGGCAGCTCGAGGCGATCGCGATACAACATTAGAGAAAGGCGCCACGAAAGCGCACGTCGCTTGTGCGGGCTCGTTTTCGTGGCGCGCACTAGAAAAAGCAAAGGGAGACAGGGGCCATTCCCAACGTGAAGGGAGACAGGAGGTGGCTGGAAGTAGGAACAGCAAAAAGAGGAGAACGCACCCTGGCGGTGCAAGACTTGATGCAACGTCAGGGCGCGTTTCGGCCCTCGTCGAGCTCGCCGCGGGACAGGAACCGCGCGCGGAGAGGCTCCATTTCGACCGTGACGTCGACGGGCACGTCGCCCTCCGGCGCCGCGTTCGGCGCCGCGGCGTCCATAATCGTCGCGAGGGACGCGGCGAGGTCCGGGCGGCGGCCTTCGACGAACGCGTCCGCGGCGCGTTCCGCGCCGCGCGCGATGGCGTCGAGGGACTCGAGCTCGTCGTCGTCGTCGCCCGGCGGCGTGGCCGCGGCGACGGCCGCGGCCTCGAAGAGGCGCGTCGCGGCCGCGAAGAGCGCCGCGACGTCCGCCGCGGGCCGCCGGAGCGGACCGCGCGCGGCGGCCGCGGTCTGGAGCGACCGGAGGAGCGCCTCCATCTCTGGAGGCACCTCCGCGTCGGGGATGACGCGCGCGCCGTCGCCCGTCGCGCGCGCGACGCGGCTCTCGCGCGCGGGCCGCGTCCGCGCGGACGTCGGCGGCGACGGCGTCACGGACGGCGCGGGCTCCGCCGCCGGCGGCACGTCGGGGGCCGGCGCAACCGCCTCGACCTGGACCTTGGCCTCCTCGGCCTGGACCGCCGCCGCGGCCGCCGCGAGGTCGCCGGTCGAGCCCGCGCGCGAGAGCCGCCGCAGGTGCGGGTGGCGCGAGACCCAGTCTTATACGAGTTATCGATGAGACGTTTTGAATTTTTGGCTCAGCATAACATGGAAGCGATTACACGGCATTTTGCCGGCTGGGTTAATGGTATGGCTGACGATTTAAGTCGCCAGAATTTGGAGGCCTTCCTCCAGAAGGCCAGAGAGTATGGGTTCATGGAACCCGTTCGTTTAGAGGTTGATGAGTCGCTCCATGACCTCCTCGTTCCCTTGGCTATGATGGTTCGCGACCATAAGATGGCCCTTTCTCAGGCACGCGACTAGGTCCTGCGGAGATGGGGGAGCCAGCGGCACCTCCAAAATAATGTCAAAACGGACCTCACTTCTAAACAAAACATCAAAAGGGACCTCACCGTCCACCATTTTTGACCATTATTACCTTGGAATTAATGGTCCCATCATATCGACACTTTTCCCCATATAACACCAAGACGGGCCCCACCTTCATATTTTTGTTGTTTTTTCTTAGAGAAGGAGCGTGGTAGCGCACCACGAGGGACCCCGCTTATATGAGGCGACACTCTCGTGGCCTGAGCTGCCTACTCCTAATCGGGGTTCGGTAAAGGCCACTGGGCTTGAATTTGAAGTAGTCCTCGAGTGACCTCGAGCTCAGGCTACAGGGTGGTAAACTGATTAAATCCTACAATCCTACTTGGGCGTACTCGGGGAGGTGTCGGGCGACTTCCCCTTGGCCCCGGCGAGTTCCTGCTGGCACCGACTTTCAGGGCCGGTCGGTCGCCGCCGCCGCCGCCGCCGCCGCCGCCGCCGCCGCCGCCGCCGCCGTCGTCGTCGTCGTCGTCGTCGTCGTCGTCGCGCGCGCGCGCGCGCGGGGGAGATTAGAACCCAAGTCAGCCGCAGGGCGATCACAGAGAGGCGATGAGTTGCCCCATATCAGCTGTCACGATATGTAAACCTGGAGCTGCTGAAATCGAGTGGGGGCGCGCCCCGCAGTCGCAGTGATCGAAAATCTCGTCGCAGGACGCCGCCAGCAGGATTTTTTGCGCTCCCGCCTCGTCGTCGCTAGCGCACGCGCGATTCGTGCACCACCTAGCGAAACGGCACGGCGCCGGCGCATCACATCATCGATAGCGTTATCCGTCGGTCGAAACGAGGGGTCCGTCTTGAGCGGGGCCCGTCCTGATATATTTTGGGGGGATATTCTTACGAGCCGAGCGGGGCCCGTCTTGATATAATTATGCGCCGGTGGGGCCCGTCTTGATATTAATTTGTGCCGAGCGGGGCCCGTCTTGATATAATTATGCGCCGGTGGGGCCCGTCTTGACATTAATTTGTGCCGAGCGGGGCCCGTCTTGATATAATTATGCGCCGGCGGGGCCCGTCTTGACATTAATTTGTGCCGAGCGGGGCCCGTCTTGATATAATTATGCGCCGGTGGGGCCCGTCTTGACATTAAGTTGTTGGTGATGCTAACAACCGCCAAAACTACTTAGCTGTACTCCACTGTAAATCCGGAGGACAAGGCAGGCTGGAACCAGTTGAACTACCTGAGCAAAGCCGCAGCTGGCACAATCGACAAGGACCCCGGAGAGGACATACAGGAATGTTGGATTGATGCCCTGGATGGCGACAAAGGCGGCAATGCTTCCACTGCCTTTGATCATGTCAAAAAGTTTGCAGACGTCGTGCACCTGAGAACGTTAACAGCTCTTAAGAAAAGCAATAAGAAATTCGAAGCTGGGTTCGATGTACTATATTATTGCACCGTCGCCAAGGTCCAGGGCGACAAGCACAGGGGCCCGACGACCCACACCAAGTCCAAGGACCACCCCGCGGGGGACTTCCTCGCAGCCTTCGCGGACTACGCGCGCCTCGACGCGGAGCTCTACAAGGAGGCGGACGCGCTCCTCGAGGCGCACGTCGCGGACGCCTTCCCCCAGTGCCGCCGCGGCGGCGGTCCCTAACGACAGTCGCCGGCGGGCGGAGCGAGGCAGGATGCGCGAACGTCCGAAGAATATATTACTACTACATACGGCGGGCTGCAAGGTAGGAGCCTGTCGGTGCCACGCTTTCTTTGGGCACGCGTGGAATGGAGGCGGCGTGCGTCGTCAGCTTGTCCGACGTCGTTGCGCGAGTGCTAGGGAGAGCGGAGCTGGAGAGCGGCGGCCGCGCCGTCGCCGTGGACGATCCGACGGCGCGTTCGCGGTCCGCCGGGTGCTTGCTTGTGGGGGTGGGCAGACGCGAATGTGTCTTGGGGGCGGGGGGCTGTTGCGCGCGGCGCGTGGTCTGCTTGGGATGGGGGGAGGTTGGGCGGGCTCGATCAATCGCCTAGTGCTATCCGAGGTCGCTGGAATTCAGAGACCGCAGTAACGAGCTTTTCTTCGTATCGTTGTGGAAACATACTAAAGAAGTGGCGCAAACCATGGCGCAGACCATTGCATCAGGTAATCGTAATTGTGTTGATAACTCAGCTTGAGTGGATGATAGACCTGATATCCAGGAGGGAGGGGGAGGGACAGTCCGCTAGGCTGGTCAGGATTTTGCTGCCGATTTTGCTGCCATAATGACATTGACTGAAACTCCCCAAGAATGCAATACGCAATGGTCGGTAGAGCGATCTCCAAAAAAACTTCATGTTTTGCAAAAAGCGAAGCCGCCTCCTTAAATACGGGGTATTGCCTTGACGAGATGAAGAAGACATCACTTCGACCACGAAAATGGATCGATCCCGAGTCTTGAGTACATGTCCAGAGAGATGCCCTGTACTTAGCCGAGAAGTCTGGATCATCCAAGGCGTTCAATATTGCTGGTACACCCCATGGTGTATTAACCCAATGCCACCCATCATTCTTCACAAGAAGGCTAGCGAGAATCTCATTCGTAATGCCCAAAGGTACTATTGGTTGAATCTCATTCGTAATGTCCAAAGGTACTATTGGTTGTTGAGCTAAGGTAAACCAAGATTGATTTGAGTCCATCGACTCACTCAGGCTTTTCAAATCCAAAGTAGCGTCATCGTGAGCAAACATGTATCCTGTTGTAGTGTATCCTGTTGTAGTGTTCGAGCATTTCAGATGATACCAGAAAAATCCACCAACATCATCATCATTCTCACAAATATGAACATTCAAACCACCGAAAGTCTTGCGCATATGCTCGATCTTCAAATTGGAACCGTAAAAAACAATGTGCGATATTCCGTATTTTTGAAGAGCGTCAGACCACACCTCCAGGTAACGGTTCGCTACAATAGTGCCGTGCTTGTGATTAATACGCACTATGAACGTGGTGTTCTGCAATGACCCGCTAGTTTTCACCTCGGGTTGCTGTAACAACCGCCCCGATGTTGCTGATAAGCGCCTCTCGCCCCCCCCCCACGGCGCCTCCTTCGACGGCGCGCTCGAGAGCCCGACGCCGAGTACGCCCAACAGAAGGACGAGTCGCTTGCTGTGCGTGTAGCAGGACATGATCCTGTGCGCGTTCCTTCGATGATTGCCTACGAAAAGAGTGTCACCCTCGTACGTCGACGTCCGAGGGCTCGCCCGAACGACGTTCCCCGAGGGGCCGCCGGACGCGCGCCAAGAGGTGGGGGTCACGCCTCGTCTCGTGGGTAGGCGCCACGAGGACCAGTAGCGACTCCGCGCCGCCGGCGTCGCCCCAGCACCGCGTGGGACGCCGGCCCCCTCGAACGAGGACCAAGATACGTCGACCTCGCTTTGAGGACGTCGCTCCGACTTTTTTTAACGGTTCCTCGCCGAAACGGGGCCGAGATTCCGGTTGATTGTGAGATTACAGTAGGCACAGTAACAGTGCTTCTATTAGTGAAAATGACCGTATATAAATTATCTGATGGTTGATTTGAAAAGTTAAATGACGATTTCGTATCCGCGCTTCGTGCAATTTGGACCAAGAAAACATCAACTTTAGGGGCAACCTAGCGGAGCTGAAGAACAAAACCACAGGAGCCGCCGAGCCACCATCCCCGAGGGACCCCTCGCATCTGGGAGGACACCGAAGCTCGCGGGCGGGTGCGCCCCGGAAGTCGTCCTGTGGTCCTACCGAAACCATGGGTTTCGAGGAGCTTGTAATTTGGACCACCCCAGCGGGATCGGCCTCCGCGGGCCCGCACTCGTCGGTAGCCGCGGCCTGGCGGGCATCGCGGAGTCATGGGTCGTCGGCGCCGTCCTCGAGCTCGCCGTCGGAGCCGTCGCCAGCAGCGTCGGCCGAATCCTCGGCCCCGCGTCGCGTCGGAGTCGGCGGGAGCATCAGATCGCGGCCGAGCGCGACGCGCGCCTCCGCGAGCATGGCGCCCTCCTTGTTGTTCGACGCCTTCGCCCCGCTCCCCGTGCGCCCGTAGATCAGCGACTTGAGCTGGCCCACCTTCAGGTTCTCGAGCGGCGCCCCGTCGGCGACCTGCTTCTCGACGGCCCGGATCTCGGCGCGGCGCTTCTCCCAGCGCTCGCTCACCTTGGAGGCCTTCGCCGCCTCCGCGGCGCGCTCCGCGAGGGCGCGCGCGCCCTCTGAGGAGATGGCCTTGACGTAGTCGTCGTCCGTGACCACCAGTCCGTATTGCGCACGGTCTTCGCGCGTACGCCGCGGGACGTGGACCGCCGCGGCCTCGTCCAAGTCGACGGGCGGCGTGTACGCCTTGTGCACGGCGCCGCCGACGGCTTCGACGTCGGCGCGCGCCATCTCCATGGCCCGGTCCAGGTTCTGCGCGCCCGCGGAGCGCTCGCCCGCGTCGGCCTCCGCGGCGTCGCCCTTGCCGAGCGCGTTCCCGAAGTCGAGCTTCGCGCGGTTCATGGTCTGCC